TAAGGCCCTCCCTGCTCTACCACTTTCATCCTTCATCACGTAGTGACTGATGACCGGTACAAGAAATTCCTCCGCCAAGTAGTCTACCACAGCTACTATCATATCGGGAAACCCACCACTCCACTTCACATCGGTACATCCCCCATCTTAAATACCCAGTAGAATAGAGTCACTAACAGCAAAGCAAAAGAACACTGCATCGACAACCTCCGCCAAAACATCATGTGCAAAGCCGACATCTCTCTCCTAACCTTCACATGGGATTCCACAGATCGCGCCCCGAAACCCAACTTCGTGATCGAGCACGAATGCGCTAACTGGGACAAAGTGGATAAATGGGCCGAGGAACATCGATTCGATATCTTTGATGAAACTACCCTGGTTCATCCCACTCTGGGCCCTTCGTTCCCCGAGGAGGAGTATAAGGCCACGGGGAGGATCCCGGGACATCCGGATTTTCATCCGAATGGGTATCATGGGGATCATCGTTAGGGGATATTATCATGATGTGGGGGTTAACTGCAGACGATGTTGTATAGTGAGAGGTTTACTATGCATGGCACGAAATCTAAATATTATTTTGGGTATATACATCTACGTTTAGGAGTATCAAGCAGGAATAACACCCTGCGGATGATGAAACGTATTCTTCGGATCCAGCTCCTCCTTCAACTCCTGCAGCCGGGGTAGATTCGTTCGCCAATACTTCTGCGGCGCATTCTCCATCCTTGGGTCCGGACAGCCCAGATACGCGTGTCCCACGCTCTCTGGCACCGCGCGCGCAAGCACATCATATAATCCATCGGTGAACTCATACGTTGTTTCCGATATCGGGCCTAGGGGATTGACCATGAAGAGCTGAACCCAGAATAGCACGTCTCTGTGCGCGTACGCGGTTGCGTCTTCAGCGACGTCGTTGATGGCTCCGCCTTCCAGACTGAGAGTGACAAACCAGGCTGGCGTGCCGGCGGTGTGGTTGGCGATGTATTCGAAGAATTCGTCGATTCCGGCAGATGGAATCAACGTGTCTTGTCTGAATCCGAGAGATTTGGCGTAGAACCAGGTCGGGGTGTTGCCGACCAGCTTGAGGATGGTATCTTCCAGCGCGTGTCCGACCATGCCGAGCCAGTCGGTTAGGACTAGGATGTTGCCTGGGTTCTTAGGTGCGAAGTGGTCTTCTAGACCTAAGGCATCGTATTGTTCCTTGGATCCGAAGAATAATCCCTCGAGGATGATGTCTCCGTCGAAAATGACCATGTTGTTGTAGAACTGGCGGGTTAGGTTCTTCGCTGAGATGAAAGACTGCCAGTCCTTGACGAATTGGGCCTTTTCAGCAGTGCTGCCCAGGTTGAAGGTATACGAGTACTGGACCGCCAGACCCGGGGCCGGCTCAGTGCGGACTTTGAACTCGGTCACGATGCCAAAGTCGGCTGCGGCGCCTTTGACAGCGAAGAATACGTCCTGGTTCTGGGTATTTGAGGCTCGAACGATGCTAGAGTTGGCCAGCACCACTTCGACTTCTTCGACGTGGTCCAAGGCAAGACCCCATTGGCGCGCGGTAGGGCCGAGTCCGCCAATGGTGAAGTGTCCGCCTGTTTTGATGGTTGGGCAAACGCCGTGCGCCATGGCTCGTTTCCCGTTGTTGTAGAGTTCGATGTCAACGTCGTTCAGGGTCGTGCCCGGTCCGATGACTGCTTCGTATGTCTGGTCGTTCATGGAGAATTGGTTGAAGTGTTTCATGTCGACTACTACCGCGCCGTCTGTTCCACCGAGGCCTGTGTCGAGCACTTGTTAGTGAAAGATGGCCTAGAGGTTATTTGGCTGAGGGGACGCTACCATAGTTCCCAAAGCTGTGGCCTCCACTGCGCGCCTGCACTTTATAGTCATAGTCTGAGGCACATTTGACTATGCCGGCAATTTGTTCTGCTGTCTCCGGGTACGTGATTGCGGCCGGAGTAACCGGGAGGTTGAGGTTGTATTCGTGGACATCGGCAGTCCAAAGAAGCTGGTTTGGGAAAGCCGCAAGAGCTGAATTGCCTCCCAGGGCAGATACCAGGCAGTCACGCCCTGCTATACTGGTTGTATTGCCCATGTTGGGAGAGACTGTTCTTGAACAGGGAGATCAATTGACTAACAGTTCAAGCAGAGAAATTAAGGCTGCCATGCTCCTTTTGTTGTGCCGGGAGGCGCCGGCCTGAAGTGGGGTGAAGATTCCATGCTTTGCCAGATGAGATGCACTATTGATCGATGGATACGAACTTCCTTGGTTTGGGTGCAAAGTTGAGTCAAAATAGCGATCTCGGCCTCCACTGCCTGTTCGTTGCGCGCCGATCATGCCTCAAAATAATGCAACTTTGATCCGGTCCCCACCAAATCCCCGCCAGACCCAAATTTGTCTGATTTTACCCCTGAATTCTTACCTTGTCTTTTCAGCTAAGACCAATGGTTTGGAAGAATCTTGAGATGAGACCCGTGGATTGGAATTTTTAAACTTTGCTTCTCATAATATTTTCACCCGGTTTGTCGCCAGCGAGTCATGTTGTATTCTTACAGTTGATTCCTTTGGGTTGCGATTGAACAGAATATCTCCGTCACTACAATGATTCACTGGCAGGGGATAGCCTGATCATAAAATGGCATTCATGGCTCGTAAGATGTTTGCATCGAAAGAAAGGCATTGAGATCTGTAGCTTGCCCTTTGGCGGCACAGCTAGACATGATCGTTACATCGCGTTGAACAATGTCCTTCAACGCACAGTTGCAAGTACTTCAGATCTACATCTGAAATCTCAAAGCCGGTCCCATCCGCTTCAGCCTCCGGCTCACTGGGTTCGGAGCATTAGTGGTCGTGTTGTACGTCGCCAGTGAGTCCAACACCTCCCACTGAATCGTGCCGTTGCCCTCGCGGTAGGTACTCTTGAATGTGCCCACCGTCTGCAGACTCGGCGTGACGGGAATCTTCCCTGTTGCCACATCCTTGCCGCTAATGACGCGCTCAAACATCTCCAGCGCAAGCAAGGGCTGATAGAAGGGAACCTCATGGCCACTCTCATACACCCGCACAAAGGCAAACTGCCCTGCCTGGCGCACCTGGCCGTGCGTCACTCCATCCGAGGTGACAATGTTGGTGTAACCCGCACTGCTGAAGTTGGCAGCCTTGACCTGCAGTGACACGGCTTCCCCGCCCAGCCAGTTGCAGTTGAAGTCAGCATCGCCGGCGTACATGACCACTGTGACGCCCTGCTTGAGCAGCTTGCCCACATCTTGGATGGTGTTCATGAGTCGCCCGTCGTCACCGGTGGATGAAAAGGCGAGTCCGACAGCGTTGTTGCTCTCCGTGTAATTAATGTATGCGCCGATGGCGGCCTGCACGGACGCCTTGTTCAGGTAGTCGACGTAGAATTCGTAGGGGAACGGGTCCGGAGTGAGTTCGCGGAAGTCGTACTCATCCCGACCGGAGTAGATGTCGTAGATCTCCTCGACCTCGTTGGCGCAAAAGTTGTCGGCCGTACTGCAGACCTCGTCAATGCCTCGGGCGGCGCAGTCGTAAAGCTGGTCGAGGCAGTTTCCGGGGCCGTAAAGGTTGTTGTACATCAGCGAGCTGATAGACTTGTTGAATGGCAGGTAGTCGTATGTGTTACCCGGATATACCTGTGGATGCATTAGTGTCGAAGTAGTAGAAATCAAGGATCAAAATCAGGTAGTTACCGTAAAGTTGTAGTAGGCCTGGTATTGAATGATCGGGTCATACCAGCCATTGCCGATCATCACACTTCCCAGCTGGATCTTCTTGGCACCCGGCTGGAGATGGGCGTTCTGCTCCTCGATGTACTCATTGAAGACAGGCCCGTAGTGCCCGCCATAGCTCTCCGTGGTGAAGTGGAAGGTTTCGCGCGAGTACTGGGGAAATGCGCCCATGAAACCCTGCAGGGCGCGGTAGAAGTTGGGGGCGGCGTTGTCGGTGGAGTTTGCCGTAAGGCTCACGTTTGGGTAGGCGTAGGTGCCACAGGACATGTCTGCTGCATAGTCGGGGCAGACAGTGGAGGGCAGGGCAATTACATTGTCTGTGGAGGGATCCACATAGCCGGGGACCGGAATGCTGTAGGAGAAGCCAGTCTGCACAGGCTGGTCAATGTAGAGCATGTTGCTGGCGTTGTTCCAAGAGTACGGGTTGTTGTAGACGGAGCCATTGGCGTCAATGCCGCATGGGCCGTGCTCTTGGAACAAGCCGATCATGGAGGAGGAACCAGGGCCTACGAATGATTAGCAATTGGACTGAAATGGTGGCCGGGGTCAGACATGCCTCCATTGATCCAAACGGTCAAGGGAGCCTCGGTGGGATCTTGATTGCGTGCCTCAAAGAACCAGAAGAAGATGTGCTCATGCTCGGCGACATCGAGATAACCAGAGAAACTCTTGACGCTGGGATCGGTCTCGCAAATGCCGGTGGGGACCTGTTTGTAGCGGACGGGGATGTCGAGATATCCCTTGGTGGGAATGAGATCCGTGGGCGGAGACACAAACTGGGCCCTGGAGACGGGCAAAGCGGCCACCAAGGCAGCAGCCCAGAGGGAGTACATGGCGGACAACAGAATTAAATGGGGAAAAAAGCTCTCGAAGTGAAGATATTAGAGCATGCTCTCCACCCTTTTATCAAGAAAGTTTGCTATCTCTTATCGTCAAGAGAGAAGTGTGGAGTAACAATGCTTAGGTGACTGGGGAGATAAGTACCAAGTTGAGTAGACGCGTGACCTGCCGATCGCTGGCAAAGCCGACGGAGTCCGAGTCACCGTTAGCAACAAAAACACCATTCGACATTCTACTATGTTCGATATTATTATCATGACTCCACATTTCTTCTTCATTCGAGCTTAGCTCTCATGCTAACGGATATATCTTCTTCACACTAACTTATCCACACTTGACGCCTCACCGTCAAGGAATGATTCCATGTCTTGAGCCATTCCGTGCTGGAACCAATCATTTCACTAACAGAGTGTAGGATAGTCATTATGTTCTGCATAAGATGCATATCCTGTTCAGCTATGTCTTATGGCATTCATAACTCACTGTCCAAGCTCTGTCATCGATCATTTTGGTCCCTCAATCAACACCTTGATTGAGCCGCTACTCGCATCCGACGCCGTCTGAAACGCCTTGGAAGCGTCTTCAAAGGCATAGACATGAGTGATCATCGGGCCCAAATCAATCACTCCGCTGGACATCACCCGGATGGCACGAGGCCACATGTTGACATAGCGCTGCTGGAACTGCAGGTCGATCTCGCGCTCGCTCAGTCGCATGAATGGAAACTGAAGCTTGTCCTTGCCCACGCCGACCACAAACACTTTGCCCCCAAACTTGACACTCTGAATAGCATTGGCGATGGAACTCTCGACTCCCGTGCATTCTTGGGCAACCACGGGCTCGCAATCCTCCCCACCCATCAACTGCACCACCCGAGCTGCGAATTCCTTGTCCGTCTCCTCCGGCCGAACCTGCAGTGTTCGAGCAGCAGGCACGAACTGTTGCGCGAACTGGAGACGCGCCGGGTTAACATCGCTAATCACAATGGGATACGCCCCAGCAGCGCGGCAGCATTGCAGCACCACCAACCCAATTGGCCCTGCGCCACAAATCAACACCGGGTCTCCAATCTTGACCCCCGAACGAGTCACTGCGGTGAGTGCGACACTCAGTGGCTCCAACAAGGCGCCTTTCTGAAATGATAGATCGCCGATCTTGTGGCACCAGATGGCGGGATGGTTCACGTAGGTCCGCAGGAGACCATGAGATGGTGGACTGGAGCGGAACTGCAGATTCTTGCACCCATTGTAGCGCCCGGTAAGGCACGGTTCGCAAGCCTTGCAGACAATATGAGGTTCAACCGCGACGCGATCTCCGACTGCGAGTGTCGTGACCGAAGGGTGGACCTTGACGACGAGCCCTGCAGACTCATGCCCCAAGATATGTGCTTCATTTACCACCCACGGACCGATCCCGCCATGTTTCCAGAAGTGCACGTCCGAACTTGATCGGTACGATTAGCTCTCATCATAAATGAATGGGTTTGGACGACAGGTTTACCCGCAGATGCCACTGAACTTGATTGCTATTGTGACCTCTCCCTCTGCTAAGCTTGATCCATCGTTTATATGTTCGAGGGCAGGTTCTGCCTCCTTGATAAAGAGATTATGTTCTGGGTCCGTATAGACCCCTCGGTTAGGAAGTTGCAACTCCATTTTGTCTGTGGACGTGTTTCTGAATACTTCTTGTGAATCTTGAAGTAACTTAACTGGCTCATGAGGATATTATAGAGTCGTCTTAGGAATATTTAAGCCATACTCATAGATCGAATGCTACATACCTCCCTCGACGTATGGGGAAATATACGCGGGGTTGGGAAGAGCGGGGGCGCGCAACCCCACTGCCCCTGCCGGATGATCGTTGATCGCGATGCTGCAGTTCGCATGATTTACTCAAATCAGGCAATGTGTGGCGGTACAATTTGGTCCGAATCTCTTCTGTATAAGTTCAAGACCCTTATCATTATAGGGCGAGGCTATCGAAAACCTCCAACAGCATCTATGCTTGGAGAAAGGCCACAATAGTCATACTGTTATGATCTGATAACTACTAGTTAGTAGTAACAGTGATCAATCATGCTCTTTCTCCACTGATGGAAGTGGGGAAGCTGGGAGATAACCGAAACCGCGGAAACTGATCGTCATCCTTTTTACATTGGATAAAGTCAACTCACCTGCTATTGTCACTTCGCCCACAATGAATATTATTCTCTTCGGTCAAAATGCAGAGATCAGAAAAGGATTCACCTGGACTGCAAAAGGTGGTCACCAGTATGGTATGTAGTAACTTTTCTCGACAGAGTCGTTCTAGTTACTCGGCTAAGTATACAGTGTCTCACTGCTGCCCGCGACTTTGCCTTTAGAGGCAAAAGCGTGCTCCTCGTTGGAGCTCGAGATCTGTTGTGGACTGCAGATACGGGAGAGGTCACCGAGGTGGAGATCGGTGGCACTTTGGTGCACTGGCAACAACCACATGTATTCGGCGAGCTGCACCGATATGAATTCACTAATTTTGAGGGCTTTGAAGACTGCGGCATTTCCTGAGAATGGTGAGTCCATGGTCAAGAAATCGCGGTCTTGACCTACTAGAGTGCAGGAACCTGCTGAGAGACGGGTCGTGATGAAGTGACTAGAAAAACTGAGGGAGAAATTTTACATGTTGATGAACAGGCCGGGCGCAGTGTAATCCAGGTCCTGTTTAGCACGGCTTCGAGTGTCGAACACAATCCAGACTATATCGAACTGGATAAGCTCAGCCTTGCGGGTCGTATTGCGCAGCTCTATGGTTGCAGCCAGGAGGGAATGTTGATGCTTAGCGCACATACCGCTTCTTTTTATGGTGTATCGTCGTAGAAGGTTTCCTTTGCCGAAGTGCCTCATACCCATGCATTATGCACCTTTAATCCTGCCATGATGGAGATAGTCACCATGAGATATAAGATCGCACGAGGCATCACGACCTTTGTGCGCGCAATTCTTGATGACTCCAAAGTAGCCCGGATCTTTGGTTCTCCTGTGACATCAATATTCAGACAGGCGGTGTTTTCCCTGTCACCCTCAAGGATGGAAACCAGTCTGTGTCCAACTTCGTCATCTCGACATTTCCCATCAATGTGATTTTTTCCATCGCCTTCGATCCCCCTCTGCCTACGCCCAAAGGGAAGCTTTCTCCACCGGGGTTACCCCGGCAAAATGAAATGAGCTACTTGTATGCACATCAACCGATCTTAGAAACGGGTTCAATGTTAGCTGTGAGGGAGGCGATATGCCCTATGCAAGCGGGTTTGCAGATGGAAAGCACGGCACACACACTCCCTCCTCACATTGCTTGCCCATCCAGGGAACAATCTGAACCGCTCAGAGGAGAACATCCGTCTGGTGGAGACACTTCGTACAGGCTGAATTTGCATGTGGCCACCACTGGTCTGAGGATCCAAATGGCGGCGGCGTCATGCCGATTCGGGGACCTGGATTCTTGCAAAAGTATCATGATGCGATCAGGAGGCCACACGGACAGGTGTGTTTCTGTGGGTCAGACTTTGTGGATGGCTGGCGCGGATTTATCTAAGGTGCCTTCGAAGACGGCCATCGAATCACTAGAGACATATTGCGACAAAACTAGAAGATGCGGATTAGTATGTACTTTAGAATTGTATTTGTGGCATCGAAGCTCGTCTTGAAGCCTCCGTTGCATACTCTCTTTATGGATTCTTAGTGTCTTTTTTCATCCAAGCAGAGACCTACCACTGCAACGTGCGTTAGTATATATAGTTGACAAATAGTCATCGTCTAGGGCAGACAAGCGGTACCATAGACAAGAATATCAGAGATCACCATAGTTAAAACGATAACGAGCTAACAATTAAGCTTAATTTCTATGTGGAGGAGATCTCAGAAATGAAAGCAGAGGTATAGTAGCTGTATGCACCTCTTGCAATCAGCTGCATTGCGATGGATACGAGCAGAGTATCTTACTGTAACCGAAGACATGGAGAGTGAGTAAGTGGGACGCCGAGGTATGTTATTTTTAGTAGTTCCGCGACATAATTGGTTGACTACGTAGGCGGAAGGTACTAATACACCATCTAACCATCTAACCATACGTACCATACATATTTACCAGCTCCATCACTGAGTTGCACTCATTGCAGGCACCGGCTTCTCCCACGTGATGGTAATAATACCGAAACAACAGCTCCATCTGGTGCCACTTCCCACGACTGGCTCGGTTTGCCGGAAGCGCCGTCACCCGCGATCATACGACGCCCACCACCGAATCTTGGCCGAGGATCACCGCCCGCCTTTGCCTTCAGGCAGCGCAATTGGAGATGGAGTTCACTTCAGTCCATGCCTCGCCTTTCCTTTCTCGGTCGCTTGTGATTTGGACTGGCTGGCCACCTACTCTCCCTCGGACCCTTTCTCCCTCTGCTACATCATCATCTTTGAATCATTTGCCGTCGTGGGACAACATTGAGGGGGTGTCTTTGCAAAGTACATGCGCCCCTCTTCTCATTTTAGCCTCTTTAGCATAACATAGCAAGAAGTCAAAATCTGCTCCGCCGGGACGGAGAGCCACTGATCCAGTCATTATCCAGTCACTGGCCGCGCCCTCAACCGCCCAACGGTTCGATAAGATCTAAAACGTACCTTGCCTGCCCTGCCCTGCCACGGTCGTCTCCGGAAGCCACCACAACCCTGTCAGCGTCAAACCTTCTCTTTCTCTCTTCCTACTACCTGCATCGCCTGGACAGATCATCTACCAGGCTGTATTATTGCAACCAACTCAGTTTCAATCATCCACAAATACCCTCAACTACTGCCCGTCTGCTTGTCCCTGAGCCAGACTCCACTGTTCATAATCTAGTCTCGTTAGCGCGTCTGGTTGGGGTGGGTGATACCCTCGCCGGTGACTTCAACCCGCAACTAGCCGCATCGCTCCTGACCCTTTCCCCTCAGGTATGCCTGCCTCTTCATAGAACACTCACCACAACGACTTTGTTCGATCAATGCTATCTTGCTCATATCCGTCTCCTTGTCACTAACCTATCACTAAACGCTAGCCGGAGTTCACCTCCGTACTACCTGCCGCAGGGCACTGACGCCATCGATTGTGGTCCCGGCCTTGGCCGCTGGACGGAATGGCACTGCCCACCATGGGGAGCGACTTTCAGCTCTTCTCCCCTCTCCAGTCTTCGGACAGAAGAGACTCACAGGCCGATTCCACGACCTTCGCCCAGTCTACAACGGAAGATTCGAGTCAGGATTGGACGCAGTGGATGAGATGGGACGACAAGGGCTTCGCCGATGGGGCAAAAGACGTCTCCCAATCCCCTTTTGATACTACCTTCACCTCACCCAATGCGTCAATTGGCAACACGGATCTCTTTCAGAAGTCCGACTTTTCTCCCGACATCAACCTGGACTGTACCAATATTCCTTTCGATTCCTTGCTCGACCAAAACTACAGTGGCGTGTGCCAATCGAAGATCGGATCCATTGGGACTGACCTCCAGTCAGCGCTGTCCGCTACGTCCGGATCCCCGCTATCCTCAGAAGGAACTGCTCGCAAACGCAAGTCGGGCAGTGATGATGATGGGTCAACCGTGAGTGGAGTTGTCCCGACCGGTAAGAAGATGCCGGCCAAAAAGCGAGCGCACAACGTTATTGAGAAACGGTATCGAGCCAACCTCAATGAGAAGATTGCCGAGTTGAGGGATAGTGTACCCAGTCTCCGAGCGTCCAAGAATGCATCGGACAGTCTAATGGATGACGATGACGAAGGGGTCACTCCCGCCAACAAGTTGAACAAGGCCTCTATCCTTTCAAAAGCCACCGAGTACATTCGTCACCTGGAGATCCGGAACAAGCGACTTGAGGATGAAAACATGGCCTTGAAGAACCGACTTCGTCAAGCGGAAAAGGCCGTTGATCAGTCACTGACCTCCGCAGCATCCGTCTCCTCACCCAGCAACTACACCGTTTCCACAGAGTCTGGCGCGAGCTCATCCCCCAGTGTGTTTTCGCATGTCGAGGATAGTCCTAGTGACCACTCGCCGACCTCTCTCTATCCTCCCGAAGGTTTGCTGAAGGTACCCGATGCCTTCAAACGCATGCGAGAGGAATCCACCACCAAAGAGAACGCGTGGTCCCAGTCATACATCCAATACCCCAGCAGCAATAACAGTGTCTCATCCCCGTGTGGTGGTCGTACCAGGCGCTCTTATTACCCCAACAAGTACATGCTTGGTGCCCTTGCTGGTTTGATGATCGTCGAGGGTATGGGCAGCGAAAAGAAAACGGAGTCAACCGCCAAGGGGCTGCTGGCATTGCCGATGAACCTGTTTGGAAACCTGCAAGCTAGCCTCCAGAGCCCCACAGCAGCATATTGGCTTGTGATGGCTCGAAACTTTTGGTACTCGTGGCATGCACGAGCCATCTCGCATTTTCTTATTCTCGCCACCCTTGTCGTCGGCAGTGCATTCATTGTCTTCGTTTACCTCTTCAACGCTACCCCTGGTGAACAGTCCTCTTCGCTGAAGACTTCGTCACCGTCTGATACATCGTCAAATTTCCGACGTCAGGCCTGGCTGACAAGTATACAGCGAGTCGGGGTCCCGCGCCACCGCTTTTTTCACGAGTGGTACGTCGTGACCTCGCGCTGCTTTGAGTACGTCCTGCGGTGTCTCCTGGGTTGGAAACTGTATTCTTCGATTACCGGGGTTACCGAGGAGGACGAAAAGGGACGAGTCAAGACCTGGGATATTGCAATTGACGCCCAATTGGCTGGTGGCGACGCTGAAATCAGCAAGAGTCGTCTAGTCCTTACCATTTTTGCGGCAGGTACCCTGCCTAGGAGTCCAATGAGGATGATGCTCAAAGCTCTCCATTGCCGTATCCTACTTTGGAGAGTTGGGGACCGCGGCTCTTGGAGCTTCGACTTGTCGAATGATGTCGCTCGTTCATTGGCAAGGTATCAATGGGACCTCGCTCGGTCCATGCACAAGGTTATGCCGAAAGATCATCCTGATGCCTTGCCTAGCCACCTAGCCGCGTTGTTGCAACTGGACTGCGACGAAGTCATGATTGATAGCATCGTGCAAAGAGCGGCAAACCTCACTTGGAATC